AAAAATAAAATAGATGCTAAAGCAAAAGATAAAAGTGAGCTAAAAAAGAGTAGAAACTCAAGCATAAAAATATAAAGATTCAAAAGCAAGGTTGCACACCTTTGGGGCTTATCTAGGGTCTTGAGCCTTTATCCCCTTCTTCTTCAAACCTTTAGCCTAACCACGTTACAACCCTTAAAAAAGACCTTTTTGAGGTATACACACTTGTGCGAGGTTCGGCTAGAGCTACATTCGGCCTGATTCCTAACGGATACGTAGGCAACCTCACATCGAGGTGCGGCCGTAATAAACATGCATTCATATTCACATTCACACACTCACACCATGATCATATCAAGGGATTCCCTATGCTCATCCCTATTCATTTAGATCTAGACTTGGGGGCTTGATCCCTATATCATTAGCTTACCTAGCCTAAGAGTCACCATCATTTGACTCTTCTAAAAATAATATTTTCCCACACACTTAGCTCTTGCGGCCTAACTTTAGTGTCACTTTCACACGTTGCACAAGTACATGACCAAATATACTTCCCTTAGGAACCCTTTGTCATGGAATCTTAACACAACGCTGAAGCATGCCTTGACATATCAACATCGCTCATCACTCATCATTGCATCACGAAGTATGAAGTGCTTAGCCTCCGTGCCTAAGTTACCCAAATACTTTCATCATGGAGTCAACCATTGAGATAGCCTAGGATGGATTAATCCTTGCACCTTGAGAGATAGTATCAAACAACATTTGTCTAAGCTCATTCAACATGAATTCGAAAACTTCGATTCTTTTTTCGCGTCTTTCTTTTTCGGGAGAAAGTCGGTACCCTCCACAAAAATGACGGAAATTTTTTGCTTTTTTTTTGCATTTTTGAGTCACATAATCAACACTATGCACACATGGGTCATGAGTCACACGTGTCATTTCACTTTGAGTCGAGTCAACCTCGAGTCAGTCAATCACAGAGAGTCAAGTTTATACCTTGAGTCGTGTCAAGTCGACGAGTCAAGCAATGCTAAACCTTAGGTCAACCCTAAGATAATTAAAAAGATTGGCAAAGTTCTATAGTCAAAAATAAATACAGGTGCAGCAGAATAGGGAAGACCCTACTCCAATTCTCGACTCCAGAGATATTTCAGCAACGACAGAGCTCGAAGCCTCTCAGAAAGGTGATTTCGACCTCATACAGCGATTTCGGGTTCCTTGGTACGCCAGTTAGCCCCTATAAGCAATTTGACATGATTAAGTAGTCAGTTTGATTACAATCGCAATAAGTGATTGACCTGATGAAAGATCGTCTCACTTAGCTTAAGCGCCTAAGTATTGGCTCATTACAAGCACCAAAGCATCGGTTCAAAAGCAAGCACTCAAACGACAATATTTCCAAATATGGATTGTCGCGCATTCTTATTAAATGAAAATTTTTCCAAAAATTGGATTGTCATCCCCAACTGACAATATTTCCAAAAATGGATTATCGTGCATCTTCTTCAACGATAATTTTTCCAAGATTGGATTGTCATCTCTGGCAAAGTTTCCAAGCGTGGATTGTCGTGCTCCTTCTTTGTTTGGCAAGTTTTTCCAAGTTCGGATTGTCATACATTCATAGATATTTGGCAAGTTTTCCGAGATTGGATTGTCATACACCCAGTTCCCTATGGCAAAATTTCCCAAAGGATTGTTGTAGGTCTCTATTCATCATAAATTTTGGCAAAGGTTCCTCAATGTGGATTGTCATTCATTTCAGTAAGTGGAAAATTTTCCCGAAGTAGATTGTCGGTCGACTCTTTTTTGCAAATGTTCCAAGACGCGGATTGTCAAGTGTGGAAATATTTTCCTAACAGGATTTTCGCATAGCGTTGGCAAATTTCCAAGGTGGATTGCTTTCAAGAGTTATATTCCAAGATGTGGATTGTCGATCGTAGCAAAGTTCTTATAAAAGATTGTTACGAAGCATTGGAAACTTTTCCAAAGATTGGATTTTGGCAAATTTTCCGAGATACGGATTGTCGCTTCATCGTGGCAATATTTCCAAGGATGGATTGTTACGAAGCATTGACAACTTTCCCTAAATCGGATTGCCATACGTCATACAAGAGTTGTGTTGGCAACTATTCCCAAAGAAAAGAGGATTGTCATCACAGCAAAAGCACCGACATACTAGTTCACAAGCAGCAAAACGCCGACGTACTGGCATAGCAAATATTAAAAAGCAGTGATCTTTTCGAAGACTATCACAGCAGGAAAAAGAAGCTCTTTGTTCAGAACGTCAAAGCAGCAAGGTGGCATTCCCTAGCTTGCGGAGAGTTGTCACGAACAACTGGAGATTGTTTCAAGAGAAATAATCTTCGATAGTGTTCCCTAGGATGTGGAATATTAGCAATGCGGATGGAGATTATTTCAAGAGAAATAATCTTCGATAGTGTTCCCTAGGATGTGGAATATTATCAATGCGGATGAGGATTGTTTCAAGAGAAATAATCTTCGATGGTATTCCCTAGGATGTGGAATATTATCATTGCGGAGAGGATAGTTGCAGGCGAAGCAATCTTCTAATTTGGAATCAGTTACAGGCGTAGCGGTTTTCAAGCGGGATGACATTCTCTAGCTTGTAGAAGGTCATCAAAACAATCGGTTACTTTCAGAGATGTGTGCTCGACGGTGCAAGATACGCGTTTCTTAACTCTTTTATCTGTTTAACTAATCTAGTTTTGCAAGTATCGGCGTGACAAGATTGATTTAGGATCGCAGAACGTTCTGAATTATTCTCCGTCCCTATCGCTACTTTGACTTTTGTTTTCGAAACTTGCGTTTCTCCAAACTCAGTCAAAGTGGGGGCTTCTGTAGACACCCATTTGTGTCTCCCCAAAACCAAACCCAGTGATGAGTACCTTTCATGTCGAATCATAATCGAATGAAACGAAAGTGTGGAAAGTCTAGTGTTGCGAAAAGTTTTATTTTCTTTTCTCTTCTCTCTGTTTTTGAAAACTTATTTTAAGAAAACAGCCAATCCAGTTTGGTTGGTCCATGATATGGGTCCAATAGTAGTATAGTTGGATGGGGCTTGCAAAGACCTTTCCAACGATATATTATAAGCCCAATTCCGATGAATACTGAGGAAGTTATGGCCAATTTACTAAACTGGGCCCGGTTTGAGCTTTATATACGGCCCAATGATCTAGGGGAGGGCCTAATATGATTTATCATTCCTAATGCAATTAGCATTGGTAAATTGACTTTTGTTGACTTTTCAGAGTTTTAATTAAAATCAAATAGCATTTTCGAGGAAAAGATACGATTTTATCCTCCAGTACGGCAAACTTATCTGATTTTCGAAAACGCGTTAAAAACAGGCTTGGCGCCTGACTCCAGGCATTGGCGCCTGGAATCAGGTCTGGCGCCTGGTGCTAGCCACTAGCGCCTGGCGCCAATGAGCTGGTGCTGGAACAAGCTCTGTTTTGCTGGCGCCAATCTCGTTTTGCGTGCGCCAAGTGCTCTGTTTTGATATTTTATCTTTTTGGCTGATTTCTCTATAAATAACGTATTAAAACTCCGTTTTCATAGACGAATATTCACGAATTCTCACCTACAATCAGTTTTCATTCGCAATCATTCTCTAATTCTCTCTTAATCATTCACCAATTCTCACCAATAATCATTCATCTCTCTTAAAACAAACATTCAATTCTTTCTTACTTTGTTTTCTCATACAAAATTTCGCATTCACAAGATCTAGAAACACCTAGCCATATTCGAAGTTGCCTTCGCCCTAAACGTGAAAGGTTTTAATTTCTGAGGATTTGGTCCCAAATCTCTCTTTCAATTATTTAATTTAATTGTTTGATTCATTATTTTCCTTGAAGTTACTAACGTGTGTATTTTGCTATTAGAAAGAGGTACGAGGCATCAAATTAAGTACTTTAATTGATTAATTGATGTTATGATGTAGACATCATGTTTATATTGTTGTTATGATACTCCTAGTATCATGTCTAGGGTAACTTTAATATTAAATATGATTCTTGCGATGCTTCCTACGTTCTTCCTAATATTTATGATTTTTAGTATCATGTTAGGGTTAAAGATTTGATTCTTATTGCTTAGTGACATGCTAGGGTTTGTTATTAATCTTGTTGGTATCATGCCTAGGATCTTTCTATTTTTATTATGCTTTAATATTAACATGAACATGATTATGATTATGATTGTTATTATTATGATTATTGTTATTATTATTTATTATTATTTTGATGATTATAATTTTATTGTCATGATATTGATTATTTATTATGTTGCTTGATTATTTTATTGCTTGATCACATCCTTTATTGCATGTGAAAGGGAAATTGTACTTGTAATCACGCTTAATAAGATATTTAATAATCTTGTTTAGGGTTAATTGTGATTATAATTCTAGTGATCGCCAATAATAGATTTATTTGTGCATTATATTCAACCAACATAGATAAACAGGTTTAGGGTTAATCCTATTGATTGCATGTTAATCAGAAAGCGCACATGATACGATCAGAATAAAGTAGAGGCCTATTATTAGGACAGGTTCAATCTCTTTTAGGTTGGATTTGTACCTTCATCCCCGAACCCTTATTTGGTTCTAGACCTTATGGAGTTGACGATCTCATGGATCGTTAAGGGGTGTAACCTTCACCTCGTGAACGGTTTACAAGTTCCTAAAACTTGTTGGCGACTCTTTTGCTTTATCTTCTTCCCTTTTGGACGCCACCGTACTTTAGTGTATGATCACAGTGGGGTTCAAGCTAGTGGGATTAAGGCTTGAATTTATTCCCTACATATACCAACCAACAAGCAAACCAACCAAAGCATAATAATATCAAAGCCATAGATAAGATGCTCCATATAGCACAAACATACACTACAACAAAAGGGTTAATTAGTAGCACCAAATTAATAGCACTAATGATAAAATGTTATTATTGTTATCAAATGATAGCACATTATTTTTATGTGCTGTTAGAAAGATGCTATTAAAATCACCTTAGTTTTCATCATAGTTTTATATAGCGTTTATTCCTAAACGCTGTTAATTAAGTGCTATCAATTAAAGTGGTTATATATAATAAATAAATAATAAAAAAAGTATTCCTATTTCTTAGCCTAATTTCCCACCAAACTACTAGTATTAGAATACTAGTCTACTACTCACAATTACCCACGACTTCACTGCTCCTTCCACTTCACAATTTTTTTTATTTTATTTTTTGTTTTGCCGCTAGAAACTACAGCCCTCAATCCCAATTTCCCCAAATTGAGTTCCCTTCAATCCAAATCCAAATCCCAGTTTCCCTAAATTAATTAAAGAGTTCCCTTCAGTCCAATAAATTGTTGAGCAATTCCTCTTCTCCGGCAAATTGTGGGCAGTTGAGCAATTCTTCTATTTCTGCAAATTGAGCACTTCATTGTCCTCTCAAATGGTGTTTGCGGGCTTCGTTGATTGAAATTATCAATTGTGAGTATTTTTTTCTTATGTAATTGCATTTTTTAAGTTTGAATTTGCTGTTCTTCATGGGTCAATATTCAATGTTTTTGGGTTATGCTGTTTATAGGACTTTTAGTTATGAAATTTGCAATTTTGATTAAGGTTTTTTGAGGTTTAATCTGAATTTGCTAATTTGCATGTTAATAAATTGTGTTTTGTTCCATTTTATTCTGGTTGTTTGATATTTCATTAGGCTTGTATGACCCCCATTGCCTATTTAATTAAGGTAGAAGGCTAACATGTGTTCTAGTGTTATATTTTGTTCTTAAAATGGAGAGGATCTGAATCACACAAGGTTCCGTTCGTTTGAGCAGAGTAGATTTGCTGCAGTAACTGAAAAAATTAGGTAGGATTAAAAATTCAAACTTTCACATAATCATAAGTGAATACAACAGAATCTTAGTTTAGATGTTTCAAAAAAAAAAAATCTTAGTTTAGATGTTTAGGGTGCGTGTCTCTGTTGTATATTATGATACATAGTCATTCAATAGACAAGTTTAGTCATTTGGGTCGTTCAACAATCATTAGCTGTGGATCATACATATCTATGTAAGTAGAAAGTATGCATGTAGGTAGATATGGTTAATAATCAAATTAATTGCAATAAATGGAGAAAAATACAACAGCCAACATGCATACTTATTGAGTCAAAAATCATGAGTCTGTTTAATAAAGAAAAGAGTACAATTTTTTTCATGAATTTATCTGGTCATGTCTATACCATGGATTGACTAAAAGAGTACTAAGTGTAGGATTGGACCAAAGTATCTATGATCATTTGCAATAACTAATTTAATTGGGCACCAAAAATACTTGCACAACTACTAAAACAATAACAAGATACATCACAAACATGAAGTTTCTACTTTGTACACTTTCTAATTTTCTAGCTTGCTCTGAAAAACTGAGTAAAATAAGGGGAAGAGAAACCCGGACCCACAGATGTTGTAATCAATCATCAAGATATCAAATTCATTGTTTGCTTAGTAGAGGAGTATTTTTGTTAAATAGTTTCCTAATAAACACTAAAGATAGGCATGGTCCACAATTACTTGTGAAATTAACAAACGATTTAGTCAATGTAAGCAAAGAAGAACATTTGGATACTCTCTAGCATAGTTAGTCTTAAAGTACACGTCTAAGTGTTAGGCACAATCACTTATTAATGATTTAACTCATGGAAATACCAACCTTTAATGAACATCTATGGTTCTTGTATCATAGTATCTTTAGTGACCTGATAAAAATCACTTGTATTATAGTCACTTTGCTACAACTGCCAGCTAATTTAGGAGTTATCATAGATAATGTTTTGTGTCCCTACTTGAATTATTTCTAATCCATATAGTTTAATAAAGAAAAGTAGTATTAATTGAGTATATACAAATAAACTTGAAAAGAAAAGAGGCTTAGTTATTGTAAAAAGGACCAACACATATGCCTTACACTAACTTGGTTTTCATTATAATCTTAAAGGTAAGTGCATTTAGAATTAGCAGGGCAAAACAAGTGAAAAGTATGGCCACATAATACACTAATGCACGAATTGAACTTGGAACTCTTTTAGTCTAATTGAAATCTACTCCATGTACTACTATCTTGAATAGCTTGCTATACCTCAATTATTAATAATTATTAAATCATACTTTATTGTATAGTGGAATATAAAAGCGCTTCTATACTCCTACAATTTTTAAGTGTTACAACCTAACCAACACATAGTTTCATGAAAATCAATTGACTTTAATATAAAAGGTTATAAGTGGGTTAGTGGGGTATTATTGTAAGAAAATTTAGCTGGGGTAGTATTTATTGAAAAGTAAAGGACGTGAGAGGGAAAAAAATAGTTTAAAAAAATTAGTAGTGTGTTAAAGAGGCGACCACAAGGAGGGAATTGTTAAGATATGCTACAAATTACTTGTATCGGATTAAATTTGAATATTACATATATGTATGAAATTAATTGATTTCATTATTATTTATTTGTTGTTAATTGTGATTAGTACCTCACTCTATTATCTAATTTTATAAGGTTAAAAAGTCCATCAATGACTTTTTTAAAATTCTTTAAGAAATTTCATGGAAAAGGTTATCTTGTATATATACACAAACTATATTAACCTAAATTAGTATAATTATCATTAATTATTCCGATCCTTTTGTTAGTTATCGTAGTTTTACTTTTATGGTGTAGCAATATAAAAATGGATCGGAAATGGATGCTTGCAAGGCGTACTAGTGACGAATATGAACAAGGGGTAGATGAGTTTATTGCATTTTCTATCGAGCATGCTGAAGATCCATCTCGCATTTTGTGTCCATGTGTCAATTGTAACAACATGATCCGACACAATGTCGAGGATGTAAGAATCCATTTGGTGGTTAATGGAATTATCCAACAGTACAAGTGTTGGATAAAACACGGTGAGACATTAGGGGACATACCTTCTTATGTAGATACTGAGATGTATGATGAAATGAATGATGATGAAATAGAAGATAATTTCCATCTAGGCAATGATCATCTAGAAGAAATGACGCGTATTTTAGAGGAAAACATTGAAGATAGTTCTGAAATGTTTGACACATTATGTAGTGGTGCAAAGACCCCTTTGTACCCTGGTTGTTCTACATTTAGCAAACTATCTGCTGTGCTGAAATTATACCATCTCAAAGCTCGTAGTGGATGGACTGATACAAGTTTTTCGAGCTTACTTGAATTAGTGAAAGAGATGCTTCCTATTGATAATGTGCTTCCGTGTCGTATTTACGAGGCAAAGAAGATGTTGTGCTCTATGGGCATGGGGTATGAAAAAATTCATGCCTGCCCTAATGATTGCATTTTATATCGAAAAGGATATGCCTCTTTAAAAAGCTGCCCTGAATGTGAGGCTCCACGATACAAGGAAAATAATGTGCCAGCTAAGGTTATGTGGTATTTTCCAATAGTGCCAAGATTTAAACGCTTATTTAGTATTGTTGAAGAATCAAAGAATTTGACATGGCATGAATTTGGGAGAAAAAAAGACGGTTTACTTAGACACCCGGCCGACTCTCCACAATCGATCAAAATTAACCGCGACTTTCCTGAATTTGAGGCGGAGCATAGAAATTTGCGTCTCGCCCTTGCTGCTGATGGAATGAATCCTTTTAGTAATCAAAGTTCTCGTCATAGTACATGGCCAGTCATTTTGATGATATATAATCTTCCTCCAGAACTGATAATGAAAAGGAAGTATATGATGCTGACCATGCTAATTTCGGGCCCAAAACAACCTGGGAACGACATAGATGTATATTTGGAACCCTTAATTGACGATTTGAAGATGATGTGGGAGCATGGTGTAGAGGTGTATGATGCTTATCGCAATGAAGAATTTAATTTGAAAGCATTGCTTTTTGGTACAATAAATGATTTTCCAGCGTATGGAAATTTGGCAGGTTATGCTACAAAAAGCTATGAAGCATGCCCTGTATGCCAGAATAACACATTCTCCTTCTACTTAAATCATTCATGCAAAGTTGTCTACCTTGGAAATCGCAAATTTCTGCCAGTTAACCATCAATATAGAAGGTGGAGAAAAGCTTTTGATGGGACTTCTGAAGAAGGGACTCCTCCAGTGCCGCCAACAGGAGAACAAATACTTGAGAAAATGGAGAAGTTGAATGTCAAGTTTGGGAAGTTGAATGAAAAAGATGTTCCGAGCGCTGGTTACAAAAAGAGGTCAAGATTCTTTGACCTTCCTTATTGGAAGACCTTACATATTAGACATTTCCTAGATGTGATGCATATTGAAAAAAATGTGTGTGACAGCCTTATAAGTACTTTACTTAATGTGAAGGATAAGAGTAAAGATGGTGAGGCTGCTAGGCTAGACTTAGTTGACATGAAAATCAGACCCGAATTAGCACCAGCACCAGTTAAGGGCACGAATCGTACATATCTCCCACCTGCCTGCCACACTCTATCAAGGAAGGAGAAAGTTTCTTTTTGCGAGTTTCTTTCTGGAGTTAAGGTTCCTGAAGGTTATTCTTCAAACATTAAAAGGCTTGTGTCAATGAAAGACTTGAAGCTAATTGGATTGAAGTCACATGATTGTCATATTCTAATGGAGCATCTTCTTCCAGTGGCTATTCGCTCTATTTTGCCAGAAGCTGTTCGAAATGCTATCACAAGACTTTGTATATTTTTCAGTGAGATTGGTAGCAAAGAGATTGATCCCTTTAAATTGAGTGACTTACAAAAGGACCTTGTTGTTACATTGTGTAAGTTGGAGATGTATTTTCCGCCATCATTTTTTGACATTATGATTCATTTAACTGTTCACTTGGTTAGAGAAGTTCGATTATGTGGACCTGCATATCTGAGATATATGTATGCGATTGAGAGGTTCATGAAAATATTAAAGGGGTATGTTATGAGTGGGAGTCACCCAGAAGGTTGCATTGTCGAGCGTGCCTTAATTGAAGAAGCTCTTGAGTTTTGTAGTCAGTACCTTTCCAAAGTCGATGCAATAGGAATCCCAAAGACAAGGCATACAAAAGGATATGAAGGAAGAGGAATAGTGGGGAAAAAAGTGGTCTCTCTATCATACAATGAAAGGCATCGAGCACACTTGTATGTACTTCACAATAGTGAAGATGTTGATCCGTATGTAGAGGAACACTTGGCGTTTTTAAGGGATTTAAATCCACGTAAGAGTGAAATATGGATAGCTGAAGAACATAATTGCTCTTTCGTTGAGTGGTTTCGACTTCAAATTGCTGATGAATTAGCTAAGTCACCTTCGCATGTTTCTGACAGACTAAAATGGCTATCTCGGGGTCCTTGTTTTGAGGTTTTATCATATTCTGGTTATCAAATCAACGGGTATACTTTTTACACAAAGGACAGGGACAATGAAACCACTATGCAGAACAGTGGGGTGTCGGTGTTGGCCCAAGCTATGCATATCTCTAGTGGAAAAGATAAAAACCCAATATATGCGGGTATGACTTATTATGGAGTCATCCACGACATATGGGAATTGGATTATAGGACATTTCAAGTTCCGATTTTCAGTTGTAATTGGGTTGATCACAATAATGGTGTGTATTTTGAGAACCCAGGGTTCACTATTGTTGATCTTACAAAAGTGGGTTATAAGGAGGAGCCATTCATATTTGCTTCACAAGCAAAGCAAGTTTTTTATGTGACTGACCCGGCAAATAAAAGGAGACATGTTGTTTTGTCATCAAATAAAAGAAATGTGTTTGGAGACCAAGATATAGATGACATGGAAGACCCTTCATTCTCATTACAATCTCATTCATTTAGCAACAATGTAGTGGAGAATGAGGCATACACAAGAGTTGATCATGGGAATTCAATACTACAACTCTGGGAATGTCATGTTGCTAGAGGTATATTAAACCTGATGGAGGTTCTATCTTCCCACTGGAACTCTTTCTAGCACTCTTATGATGAGTCTTATAAATTATATCATACATATCTAGTTGTCTAACAACAGGATTTAGCAAAATTACTAATTGAAGTGTTTAGATAACTATAAAGACAATTATTTGAACAAAATAGGGGCAAGGTATAATGTTTCAGACTCCATCCCAAAGTTCCTTACATTAGTGTTGAAAATTTTATATTGCTATATTGTTAGGTCTTAGTTGAGACGAATTATGCTAAATCAGTTTTTACTATTTATTATATAGGGAATAATTGCATGCCAGTTAGCTTTATCAGATCCGAGTTATAGAGTGGTAGCTACTGGAAAGATGCACAATGTTAACAATGGTTCTATGGTACATAATAAATCATTACCATCGGGTTACATGCGAGTTGCAATAGATTATACAACTGAGGAGCATACACCTTTGCACGTCCCTCTCGATGATGGTGAAGCATTCGTCCTTAAAGATGCCATAAACACAATCGTATTGTGGCCCACACATCTCATTATTACAGATGTTCCGGTATAAATCCATTTTTTTTTAATATTATTTCTTGATGATTGCCACTTTGCGTTTTTTGGTTATAAAATTTTTACAGTTGTTTTTTTTTCTGAAAAAAAAAACTTTGGATTACTAGTGTTCACAGGGTCATAAAAGTTCTTCAGATCCCAAAGCTAAGAAGACCAAAGCTTCTCCATTGAATACCATATTAAGAAATGATGAACCTTCTCATGCATCATCTGAATATCAACCACAAAAGTTGGATGACAATATTGAAACAATCCCATTCCCGGACACCCTTCCGGCTGATCTTCAAATAATGCACAAGTACACTTTGAAGATGGCTCAGAAAGAACAAATTCACATCCTTATTGACATGGGAATTCCTGGTGTCTGTCATGTCGTAAATCACATGTCGTGAGTGTTTATTAGCTGTTTGTTTATACTGTTTTTTTTTTTTGTTTTTTTTTAAGGAAATATGATTATGTTGGTTACATGATATATTTAGTTTTAAAGATCCATTTAGTCATATATCTTTCATGATGAATTCGTAGGTTATTGCATCGCCGTTGCCAAATGCTTGGTTTAGTGGGTTTATTTGGCTTTTTATGTCCAAGTGGGATATCTCCCGTAGCACAATTTAAGAAGGGAGAGATAAAGAAAGTTGAAGAGGATCAAAGAGCTCGTTCTGAATACATCAAGAATACATTATTTAACGTTGAGGCAACTAAAGGAAGGGTCTTCCTAGCACCGTATAATGTTGGGTATGCATATTATTTTTTTATATTATATTTGTCCATGGTGAATAATTTAAACTACTAAGAGTTGGTTTTTACGCCTTACTACATAGGATTCATTGGGTGTTGTGTGTTATTGATCCGTATAATGACATCGTATATTTTCTGGATCCTCTACACAATGAAAATAACAAAGGCACAGGAAATGGAATTGGAGATGATTTGCGTTCAATTGTCGACAGGTTAGAGACTTTTTTCAATTTCTTTTAATGAATATTGGTGCAAAATTCCTCTAAAATGTGCCAGATTTTCATATTTTTAGGTTGAGTGTATAATTCTAAGCTCATTGTCATTTTCTTGTTTTAATTTCTTATATGCTGCTTCTTAAGATTTGGCATGTGAGTTTACTCCTAGATTTCTAATGGTTTTCTAACGAACAATTTGGTAAGAAGATGCCTTGTTGAGTTTTGCAATTATATACCATAGGAGTGCAGACAATACAATATTACCTTTAGTTGTGCAATTGATGTAGTGTCAACTCTGGCAGAAATGGTACGGAGTTGGAGAATTATGTAGGAAATGTATAAATAAGGACATAAGTGTAGTGTAGCATCTTTTATTTCATCTACAATGGTCATCTCATCATCGATCTATTACTTGAAATCAAGTGTAAAATGCAAAGGTTAATTAATGCAATTTTCAAGGTGACATAATCAAGTGTGAAATGCAATGGTTAATTATTGCAATTTTGTTGTTATGCAGAGCACTCTTTGGTTTTCGAAGTGAAAAAGGATTGTTAAAGAAGATTAAAATGAGCACCAAGTGGGTGCAGATACAAGTATGTTGTATGACTGTAATTTTTGTTATATTTTAAAATTTTTGAAATTATTTATGATTATTTTTTTATCATGATTATGCAGTGCCCACGACAAAATAATGGCGTTGATTGTGGATATTACGTTATGAGATTTATGAAAGAGATCATTGACCATAAGCAAACCCAAATTTTTGAAGATGTATGACCTTTTCTTTGTTTTAAACTTAATATGCCTACTTTTGATGCTTATTATGTTAATCAAAATTCTTATTTTATTTATTCTTTTTTGTCCGGTCTTATTTTATATTTTGCAGTACTTTCATGATTGCAATGTCTCTAAGATCACTCTCAATGGTGAGCAAAAAAATGCCCACTCACTATCTCTCTACCCACTTTCTCTCTCAACAAATCTGTTTTGCCCATGGGCAAAAAAATTTCACAATTTCTCTCCCAATGGTGAGTAAAAAAAATGCTTGCCCACTACTCTCTTTCTCTTACTTTTTCAATACCCCACCATTACTTTCTCTATCCTACACAACACTTTTTTATTTATTAATTTCATTTATATTTTAACAATATTACTCCAAATAAATAAAAACTAGTCTAAATTTGTGTAACTTATTTTTTTTTATTTGTGTCGTTTTTATCGTTAAAATGAAGAATATGGAGGATTTATGTTATTTCTGAAATTATACCAAAATATACCAAAATGCATGTCTATCTATAGAGAATTAAATTTTATGACCGTTAGTAATTTTAATTTTTTTTTTAATAAATATTTATTTCAGAATTTGCATTTCAAAAAATATAACCATTGCAAATTGTGGAGCCCACCAGAGCACTATTCATTTTCAAAAATGCTCAAGTCTTGGGCATTTTCAGAAATGTTCATGAGCAATTTTTGGCTTTTTCTCATTTGCTCACCATTGTAATGCATGAGCAAATTTTATGCCCACCCAAAATGCCCATGAGCAAATTTTTAGCTCACCATTGATAGTGCTCTAAGGTATGATCAAGACCAAATTGATGAAATCCGAACTCAATGGGCACGTCATGTTCTTCTCATGTGAATATGTGGTTGATTCACCGTGTATTTAAATTTGTAATAGGCCACAAATTTTTAATTTAAGAATTTTGTAGTGACTTAATTAGGGTATGTATATATTTGAATTGACATATATTGTACTATAATTTTTTCCCTTTCTTGGAGAGTGTTACCAAAAATGACTATTAATATTATTTGTATTTTATGAGACCTTAAGACATTTATTTCATTTGGAAAACTAAATTTAGTTCTGTTCTAGATCTTGGTTAGTTTGTACTGATTTGTTTAGCTACATATTTATTAATAATTATAATTAATGCATTATATAGATTTTGAATTTAAAATATTTAACAGCGCTTTCTAATAAATGCTATTGATTAATTCAAAATAAATCAATTATGAATGTCATCAACCTTCCCACCATTTTAATTGATTTTACAGCGTTTTATATTCACTGCTGCTAAATTGAACACTATTAATGGCGCTTAACTTAAGTGCTATAATTGTTTTAGCAGCGCATATATTCAATAGCGCTTTACAAACGCTGTGTTTTATAGAAAAAAAGCGTTGTTAATTAATCCTTTTGTTGTAGCGATAAGGGGAAGTGAGACAAAAACATCAATATGCAATTGTTCTAGCCTAGGCATGCCATAAAATCGAGGAAAGAGCACAACCAATCCTAAAATAGGCATGCAATCTAGAACATAATAACACATGAATCCTACCACAAGTTCCAAAGGCTAAGCTAAGCCTTTCATGCCAAACATTCCACATACAAACTCAAACTTCTCCATACATTGCACAAAATAGCATCACATGAAAGCACATTTCCTATCAAAACTGAAAACTACCCTAGACACAAAGACCCCAAGACTTCCCCCAAGCTAGACATTTGATTACCATTCCCACGATAGAAGGACACAATGAGAAACATCTCCCCCCAAGCTAGAACTCGACACCGGCCTCGGTTTTACACATGATGGGGAAGAAGAGAAGGGAACGGTAAAAACAAATGTCTAAAGGCTACTCCCGATCATCCTCCCTAGGCGGCGATGGCATTTAGTTATAGTTGAGGTCTACATCGCCGGAAAAGGAAGGTTGATCCACGTATGGAGGAAGATCATAGTTGGGGCTACTACGATAGTGACCGTAGTCCGGTGCATTACTAGTGCCCCAACCACAATCATACCCGGGTGGAAACCCGAAGTATCCCCTTAAGGGGTGGTTATCGATCTCCTCGGGAGCCATATTAACACATGTCTCGGGGACGTGGTAATAAGAAGGGTCCCCCCTAAAATCACAACCCCCGGGTTGTGTATAATCGTAGGGAGGGAAGGATTGTAACTCCGAAATGGAGCTACGAGGTCCTTGCCAATAAGAGTAGGTGGGTTGGTTGTTGTTCCAACCCGCAACCGACCCCTCTTGAACGGGGCAGTGAGGATAGTTGACATAGGGGAGAAAGTCTCCCCTCTCAACTTGGTTTTGATAGGACATTTGAGACACATAACTTTGATATTCATTTTCCTGCATAATTCTTTGGTTGGTTAGATTGAGATGGTGAAAGGCCGATTCAAGGTCGAAGGAGGAAGAAGAAGAGAAGGAGCCGCCCAAAAACCTAGGAACGGTAGAAATACTATGGCGGCGAGGTTAAGATGGTTGGTCAAGGTCGGGAACATTCACGGGGAGTGGCTCAATTGGCACTTGCCAAGTGTTCCCCACAATGTTCATTACCGCCGCATTAGGGAGAATGCAACGGTGCTTACCTTTGACCAACCAAGAGTATGTGGTCACATTACCACGGAGTTCCACAAGCATTTGCATTGAGGCAAGTCCGGGAATGTCAAGGGCATTGGACCCGTTCACCGGGGTCAATTGCTCAACCCAATTAGTGAAACCCAAAGCCTTGGCAATTATTGTGATCATCCCACCACATTTTATCTCCCCTCTCAACTCCGTGCTCCTCTTAATCTCAATGCACCTTTGGATAAACAAGTATTTCATATTCACATTACCCTCAAGGTCTCCCTCAAATCGGGAAGCTATAAAGAGGCATTTGATCTCCTCTTTTGTTAGCTTCCCGAGATCTTGTTTTGAGAAACAAGTGTACCCCATAATTCTCATGAATATACGGAGTACGGGGTGGAAAATGTGGCTAGCATGGCTAGACCGGGTGGTGAAATTAGGATACCCCGCAATAGTATTCCACCAATTTTGCTCATCGTAGCTAGAAAGGTAGAAACTATCGGGGTTGTCTATTTGATTATATACGGGCCACTCAAATATTTCATTGAGGCGAGTTAAGGTTAAAGTTTTTTCTTGATTGAAAAGTTTAAACTTAATTTCACACTCAAGAGGCTCTCCCTCACCATTGATTCGGCGCATGGTTAGGGTTTAAAGCAACTCGAGAGTGATCGATTCGTAGGTTAGCTCCCTCTTCTTGAGGAAGTTTAACCATCCGAAATTATCGGCCACTCGCCGAATTCCTTCATGGCTTCATCTACACCTAAGAGATGGCAAGCTTTTTGGTCATAAAATCTCGTAGGAAGGATTTTTCGTTTTGAAAGCTCGGAGTGATACTTTTTGAATTTTTCGGGAATTCTAATAGGAGGAGGACCATTGTCTTGGTTTTGTGTTTGGCTTTGGTTTTGGTTTTCGGGTATTTGGATGCCGGAAGTCTTTCTCTTCTTTCCTGCCGCACCTCCAAATAATCTTAGTACCATTTTGACAAATGCGGAATAAGTATTAAAAGGGGTCACTCAATACACCTCACACAAACACCAAAATGCACCAAACACAACCTCCTTAACTTCAAACCCCCGAATTAATCCAAGTATCTGTTTCAAGAACTCAATATATATATACCAACACAACCAACAAGGATTTTCCAACACACAATTTCACAATCAACAATGAACTTCAAGTTCACACCAATCACATGCACAAATTCACCACACTCATGCAATATTTCAATCACAATTTCACTACTCCAACAATCTATCACAATTTTCCACCAACCATTTTCAATTAGCAACCATATTTGTTTGAAATCACCTAATCATGCAACTAATTACACAATGTTTATGAAATAAACAAATTTGAAAAGCTTGAAGAGGGAAAGTGAAGTAGGGAAGTAGAATATACCAACTAGAGTATGAAAATACTCTAGAACTTCCAAGTTTTGCTCGATTCTTGCTTCCTTTGCTCCAATTCCTTGAAAAATCCAAATTTTCCTTCGATTTTCAATGGTGGTGCTCTAGGGTTTGAAATTTTCGTGCTCGAATTTGTGTAAATTTTGTGTTGTTGGATAGAGAATTTAGTGGAGAAGAGGATTTTGTGAATTTTTAGTGAAAAATATTGAGATTTGATGATGAAATTGAAGAGAGAAGTTGGAGAATATGAGGTTTTTAGAGAGAAGAGTAGATGGTAAGGAGGAGAGAGAGTATGAAAGTTTAAATGAGTGGTGAAGAATGAGGGAAAAAGGGTAAAAAGAGATAAAAAAAAATCTCCCCTCTTTTTTTTTTTTTTTACCCGGACAGGTAGGAGTGGGCGTGCAGAGAGGAAGGAGCGCCCGCTCCAAACTGTAGAAGGGAATTTGTTTTTTCTGTCCCAGCTAGGAGCGGACGTGTAGGTGTAGGGGAGCGCCCGCTCCTTTAAACAATTTTGGCTACGGTATTGGCCAGGAGCGGGCGTGCAATGCTTGTGGAGCGCCCGCTCCAATGTTGAGAAGTGAAATCTGCTTTTGCTAACCCAGACAGGAGCGGGCGTGCAGTTGTATGGGAGCGCCCGCTCCTGATGCAGTTCTTTGGTTTTGATTTCTAATCCAGCACAGAGCGGGCGTGCAGGTCTGTTGGAGCGCCCGCTCCTGAAGATACCTGAAGCTTCTGTTTTGTACGGAACATTAGGAGCGGGCGTGCAGTTTTCCAGGAGCGCCCGCTCCTACCAGTCTTGAAGCCCACTGTTTCTTTCATTAAGCTTGGAGCGGGCGTGCTTAGTGATAGGAGCGCCCGCTCCAAGCTGTTAACAGCTTCCTGTTTTGTTTTCTTCGGCTCTTTTTGCTTCAAGTTCCTATATCAAAACCACAATAACATAAATTCAACAATATTAGCCAAAGTCAGATATTCCCAACACTCTTATTCTTTTCCTATCTCATTCATTTTTTTTCTTTTTTTTTTTCCTTCTCTCTTTTTTTTTTTACTCGGGTTGCCTCCCGGAAGCGCTTCTTTAACGTCAATATCTTGACGACCTCCACACTCAGGAGGTAAGATTACATTGATTGATTCTAAAACACCTACATGAGCACCCTCGTAGTAAAGCTTGAGGCGATTCCCATTCACCTTGAAAGATCTCTTTCCGTCCATATCCCAAACTTCCACGGCTCCATGTGGAAACACTTCCTTGACAACAAAAGGTCCACTCCACCTTGATAAAAGTTTCCCGGGAAACAATTTCATCCTAGAGTTT